GTATGGATTTAGTACACCGTAGAATGATCGATACCAGTTGTATTGTCTGTAGCTAGACACATTGGCGCATGCAATATTTCCCCATCACGCGATGCAAGCCATTTTTTACCCATTTGTCAAGATATTATTATTATTTAGTTTTTTATATAAATTATTTTTTCGGTTATTAAAATTTTGAATATGTGAATAAATAGAAATAATTTGAAAATTAAAATTTAATTTAATCAAAAATTTATTGTTAAATTTATAAAACTTTTTTATGGAAATTTTTGTAAAAATATGTAGGACGGAATATTTGAATTTTGAACAAAATACTGGGACGCTTTTTGACCAATTATTGAATAAAAAATCATTAAACTTGGCAGGAGTAAATGATCCTTCGTAAATTGATTCTATTTTTAAATTTAATCATTGAAAAAAAATAACTAAATGATAAATAAATAGGTAGTTTTCCCGCATAAAACTGCCTTATCTCAGGACCCATCACATATTCAACTAAATAAACTTTACTATAAAGAAATTACTAATAAACGTACAACCAATACAATCGGAGAGATTGATTTAATTTTTTGGTTATTCTTTATTTTAGTTTAGATAACTTATAAGACAGAATTATTAAAATGCAGCTAGGTTAGGCTAGAAAACTAATTATCAACAAAAAATTTCATTTGCTGTACTTTGATGTAGACCGCAAGAGAGTGCCAAAAGTAAATTATCTAGTTTAATTTTTTTAACCAGTGTTTAGAGTATTTACAGTCAGTCTGATAACCTCTCCTTCAGTGGATTTTACATGTGTTTCAAATAAACAAACCGATATATTCAATTGGCATTTGTTGTCACTGGTCCAGACTGAATTACCGACATCAGATTGTACTACATGTTCTTGAGTCAAGATGATAAAATTCAAGGCAAAAAATTGTTGAAACAAAACAACTAGCTGTCTTTAAAATAATTTTCTTGGATCCAGATTATCTCTTTAAAATACAAGAAAATTTCTTAATTATCTTGACAAAGTACAATAAAAATAAGCTTTTTGCAGGGCCAGTGCAATTTAATTATTAGACCAAGTTCATATACTTTATATATATTGTTTTAAGCCACAAAAATCCTTGTTCTACACAGAGCTCATGTGCTATGTAAATAAACAATAAGATAATTTTTTTAAATAGTGTTTGGAGTATTTACAGTCAGTCTGATAACCTTCTTCAGTGTTTTCAACGTAAATTACCAAAAATTTAATTACTATTCAATTAAAATGTCTTTTAATGTGTATAATAAGCCTTTCAATTTCAACGCATCGAACTCCATTAATTAATATTAAAAAACTCTCAATATTAATATTAAATATTAATATTAGTAAAAAATATCTTTTTAAAATAACATCAATAGCATTTTCAGTGAACCAGTCTGTCTGGTTTTTCAACCCACAAAGAGGAAAGAAAAGAGACGTAGGGGAGTATAAAGTACTCGGAGTTGGCAATGCACCCTCTCTATGGTTCTTTTCATCCCTCACTAAAGCTAAAGGCATAGTCGTCGCCCTTCCTAGTTCCGTACTCGGTATAATTCGTGTATTTCCATTTTACCCCGACAAGTACAGTCGAGACTGCACCACCTCCACTGCCACTATCACCGGCAGCAGTAAGCTCGCGAATCAATACCAGCAGACATCCTAACTCACTGGAGGTCAATGCCTTGTTCCTATAAGCCCGACGACCTCAACCTCCCGTATCCAGTTCTCCAGTCCTCCAGTCCTCCAGCCCTCTTTCTCTAGGTACACTATATACCAGTACTAGCCCGTCAACCTACTCTTACTCTTACCCGTAGACTCGACTGCGACGCGACTTTACCCTGTACCAGAATCCCAGACAGGGAGGATGAGTTTCCAAGTCTCAACAACCGCCAACGAGCCCGCTATATCCATTCCTTCTCATCTTGCTCATTTCCACCCTTTACTCTCTTTTACCACCCAAAGTTTGCTTTCTCAAGTCGCCTCAATTGCATATTTTTCGCTTAGAGATAAAAAGTGGGGAAAAATATTTTATGTGGATGCACAAAAGCTTGGTTAAAAAAAAAAAAAAAAAATTGTTAATATACTAGTATGGACAAAGACATTGACATTCAAAAGTATAATATACATATTCCTTTTTATCCAGACAGGGAAGTTTACTAGTCTTCTAAACTGATAGAAGGATTTGTTTATATTTAATAAGCTTTATTAATTAACTGTTAATAAATGATTTTTTAACATAGGATTTAATAAATATTTATTTACAGATAATAAATAATTTATTAAGTACAATTTATTAACAAAATATTTATTAAAATTTAATAAATTAAATAATTGTCCAAATAAATTGAGTTATTAATAGTTAATAAATCCTATTCAGTGTATCAACGCTTTAAGATAGCCAAGTTATTACTTAAAAATGTAAAGAGTATATAATATAGTGAGAGATAAAATTTATTTTGAAAGAAATAAATATTGTTGTGATAAGAAATTAATTTATAAAAAATTTTTTAAAACAAGAAAATACTGTGAGAAAGATTATTATTTTTTTTAGCTAAGAAATAAAATTATTTGATATTTTTTCACAAATTAATTTCTTATTACAATATTTCTCATTTTTGTCATGTATAATATGTATTTATATGATAATAATGAAAAGAAATGATAAAAAAACGCTTGAAACAGCGCCAAAAAAATTTTTAAACTCATCTTCCGTTTATCTTTGACATGTATGGTTATATATTTCTGTTCGATGTGGCCAACTTTTTAAATGTTCTTCAAATTCTGGCTTACCACCAAATCAAATTAGTTCAATTTTATCAAGTATAAGATTTTTAAAAATGATTTAAAGACTAATTGATAAATCATAGCTACAAAAAAATTAAAAGAATGGTTGACTCTAAAGGCCATCCCTGCAACTTCCCGCTAATTCCATACCTGAATGATCAACATTTCGCTTATTCTGTTTTTGAGCTCTTCGAGCTCAAAAATATAATTTTCATAAATCTGATGGAAGTTTCATTGATCACTCAAAATTTACTGGTCCGAATCGGTTCAAATTTTCAGGAAATTTTCCACGGGAATTTAAAAAGTTAAAAAGATAAGGCATAGGTGCTATAGGAACCGAGCTTCTAGAGTGCAACGCCAACTAGTGACTAAAACGTAAACCTTTAGCGCAATAATTATAATAATACTATTTCCCAGTTACATGTGATTTTCGGTTGATTTATTTTTTTATCGAGATAAATTGTTTAATAATTTACAATGTTTTTATCAATAAAGTCGTGTAGTTTAAAAGGTTATACAGAAAAATCCTCTAAAGAGCAAGGCGTAAATTTGTCGGTAAAATTTTAAACTTTTCCACAAAATAATAGTGTTTTTCCGTGGAAGGAGAATTTTTAACTTCCCGCTAAAAATCTCATATTTTCATCAAGTTTCCATCAGATCTCGACGTTTGAAGGCCACAGGAAGCTTCCCTGACTATTTTTACGATGATGTCCGTACATCTGTATGTATGTGTGTGTGTATGTATGTATGTGTGTGTGTGTGTGGGTATGTAAACCTCTTGTAACTTTTGAACGACTTGACCGATTTCCTCGCGGTTGGTGTCATTCGAAAGGGCTTCACTAAACTTAGATTTCCTGAAAATTTAAACCGATTCGGACCGGTAGATTTCGAGAAAATCCAAAAAAAGTGTAAAAAAAAGTTGTTTTTTTTTTTTTCATTTTTTGTAATATCTTCGAATTGGCTGAACCGATCGGTCTCAAAAACTAATCAGCTCTTAACATTGAAAACCCGCATCGATCGCCACCTACAGCGTCAGAATCGGTTGATGCGTTCGTGAGATATCGTTGTCGAAAAAAATCGAAAAAAGTGTTTTTTTGTAATAACTTCGAAATTCATAACCCATTAACTTAATTTCAGAAAATAATATGTTTTCAGAAATTTTCAATTTTCGGAGCAGAAAGTTGAAAAGTTACAGAAATAAGGCATAAGTGCGATAGGGATCAAGATTCTAGAGTGCCACGCCAACTAGTGACTAAAACGTAAACCTTTTGGGCAATAATAATACTTTTTCCCAGAAACACGTGATTTTCGGTTGATTTATTTTTTTATCGAGATAAATTGTTTAATAATTTACAATGTATTTATTAATAAAGTCATGTTGTATAAAAGGTTATACAGAAAAATTCCCTAAAGAGCATGGCACACATTTGTCGATAAAATTTTATACTTTTCCAAAAAATAATAGTGTTTTTCCGTGAAACGAGAATTTTTCGCCTATCGAATCATTCTGATCTCAAATATTTTTGTTATCATTTATTGGTCGAAAACTATACTCTATTCTTTCCCATTTTGTATATATTTTCTACAGCAGTGCGCGAGAGCTTCGGCTAAAGTGCCGCCTTTACAGTTTGAGCACAGCTCCTACAGTAAGTTAAATATATTCTAGTTTTCATCTCAAAGGTTGCTGCAGTTCTGTATATAGTGTTAGTTACATTCTACCCACGTTTTATAATTCACGATATTTTCTAAAAATTGTTTAGTGCAATATTTTTCTATTCTAAAATTATCGTGTGAAAATATAAAAATTGTATTGTTGGATAGTTCTTAAATTTTTGTCGATAAGACTTAAAATTAATAAATTGTTGAAATCATTGAGACCGTATTCAAATAAATCTCATAGCTAAGAACTTTCTACACATAAATATCTCAATAATAAAATCTAACCATATTTTGGTTATTTTTTAGTGATTTCATTGATACATCGGACTCCGGCGTGGCATAAGATTAAATATCTCGAAAAATAGTGTAAAAATGTGAAAAATAAAAAATTTATAATTTATTATTGAATAAAGTGATTTTAAGCGGTTACTATAGTGAATAACGACTCTCACTCTTTAATTATTACAATAATTGAAAAAAAAAATTGTAATTGTAAAGAAAGACTCATAGAATGGCCTCAGAGATAATGCAGAGTAAGAAGGAGATAATGGATAGTGATAAACTGGATATGCATTCTGCAATTCGTAAACATCGTTTAGTGGTGCGTAGAGCAATTTTCGATCATCAAACTGGACTCAAAAGCTCATTTTTTGAAGATAAAATAATTAACAAAGCACCGATAGTAACGACTGGACCTTATGCTGGATACACTGCATTGCATATAGTTTGTATGGATGGAGATAGAGAATATGTAAGATTATTAGTTGAAGAGTACAATGCAAATGTAAATGCTGTTGCTGACGATGGATCTCAACCTATTCACTTAGCGTGTTTATTCGAATGTGAGACGCCTTTGGAACTTGTAGATATTTTGTTAAAAGCTGGTGCCAACGTTGATGCTGAAATAGGACAACAACTTTTTGAAAAATACATGAAAAGGAAAGAGTGGTGCAACGATTTTGGGAATAAGATGACTTTGTTAACTTATTCAATCCTATATGGTAATAATGCTTCGTTTATTTCATCATTAATCGGAGGCAAAGCAAATTTGAAAGTTAGGAGCCTAAAAAATAAAACACTGTTAATGTATGCGATTGAACGTCGGGAGAGCAGAATCGCATTTTTACTTATAAAAGTAGTACAAGATCATGAATGGATAAACGCCCGTGACAGTGATGGTTATCTTGTTACCCACTATATATTAAATCCAAAAAATTTAGAAAATAATCAATTCTTCGATATTGGCCACGAATTTAGGAATGATCTGTGTACCTCTCTTTTGATTAGGACTTTACTTGATGCCGGTGCTGATATTAACGCAACCATAAATGATGATCCATGTTGGATTTATAGGGATAATCGTGATAAATAAATAATTTAATTAAACGCAATATGTATATTATAGTTAAAATAATCTCTTTATTTAAGAGATCGTGTTGAAAGAAATTGGTCTTTACGTTTCAAAGGTTTTGCTTAGACTAACTTATATCTTAGTAACTATTTAATACTGAGGTCTAGTAACCTCTCCTTATTTTCCTAAAAGTAAACTTAAACTATATATAAAAAATTACTTTCAACTAAGACATAAATATATATGTATAGCTAGTACTTTAACGGGTAACAAAAAGGTCCTCTTAACTGACCCAAGTTCCCAGAGTCATAAAATTCATTTCTTACAGGCTTACATAAACATCCTGCATGCACATGTTTGAAAACAAGGTTTTCCAAATATTACAAAATAGAGAGAAATACTCTCGCTTACACAAAGAGTATTTTCACTAAAGAAATATTTTAAACTAAATTCATTTTTGAATCAGAGAATTCAACAATCCAAATACTACATTACTCAATATAGCGGCTCGCAAACATTTTGCACTTACACTGGATTACTTGTTGCCTTATCATGACAACATTTCACAATCATCGGCTTTGCATTGCATATTACGTTCCCTTGAAACTTCACAGGCAGAATCTAGTATTAATGATAAAAGGTTAAGTATCGAGTTAATTTTAAAAGACCTCATTTATAGACGTACGTTTGGTTTATTTGTTCCTGAAAATGAAAAAATATTGATGGACAAGTTAATTGCTGAACACGCATATTTCAGGGAGCTAACACACACCTACAAACAAAATGAGATTCTAGGGGAGTTAAAAACAAAAGTACTTAAGTATGATGATAAAAGTATCACGTATTATGACTTCATAATGTCATGTTTTGATGATAAAAAATTACGATTGATTGTGCAAAATAAATCCTTAATAGACGCGTTCAACAAAACTTTCCCAAATCCGTACTTTCCTTTTTTTATGATGAAATTTACTAAGGACTTTGAAGAATCTACTTATTCTGTGGTATCTTTTAAAGATGCTGATTATTTTTTCTTCCGGAAACAAATTTCGATAAGAATAAAAAAAACGTCAAGAAGACTTGAACAGTTAGAAGCATTAAAAAGAGTAGAAAATCTTCGTGAAGCTATCCCTTTGCCATATGAATTGGTAATCACAATAGTTGAATATTTTAATTATCAAGACTTTAAAAATTTTATTCAGGCTTTTTATTTATAATATATTTACTTTTGTAAACAATACCAAAAAATTGTTTTTTTAGTAAATAATAACGAATAGTAAAGAAATAGTTACCTTAGTATTCATTTATTTCTATTATTCTGTATTGTGTATTAATGTAAACCACATTATTGTAAATATTGAGCTACTACCGATAACGTATTGTAATATCATTATTGTTATTTATAAAATTAAAATATTTTGTATTCATTGAGTTGGTAATTGAGAATTTTATTAAATAAATTGTATACCAATTTATCAGAAACTATTGTTGATTTTTATTTCAACTATTTTTTTTCAACTTCCTGCTTTGCTAAAAATTAATAAGTTTCATAAATTGCGACGTCTTGTCCGTAAGTATGTGTGAATCGATTTAATTAACCGTAAAAAAATTTTATTTCATATTTAAAAACATTATATAATTTATTCGAAGCCGTAAGATGGCAGATTTGAGTTAGGCTCGGTCCCATAGGGACCGAGCTTCTAGAGCGCCACGCTAACTAGTGACTAAAACGTAAACCTTTTGCGCAATTATCATAATAATACTATTTTTCAGTAATATGTGATTTTTCAGTTTATTAATTCTTTTATCGAGATAGATTATTAATAATCTACAATGTCTTTATCAATAAAGTCGTGTTGAATAAAAGGTTGTACAGAAAAATCCTTTAAAGAGCAAGGTGTAAATTTGTCGGTGAAATTTTATACTTTTCCACAAAATAAATGTATTTTTCCGTGGAAGGAGAATTTTTCGCCTTTCGAATCATTCTGACCGCAAATATTTGAATTATTATTTATTGGCCGAAAACGATACTTTATCTTTTTCCATTTTCTACATATTTTCTCCACTAGAGCGCGCGAACTTCGGCTAAAGTGTCACCTCTACAGTTAGAACATGGTCTCTATATAGCAAATTATGTATGCTCTAATTTTCATTTTAGACGTTATTGCAGCCCCGTGCATAGTGTTAGTAATATCTTACCCACGTTGTTATGATTCACGATATTTTCTAGAAATTATTTAGTACAACATTTAACTTTAAAGTAAAATCTAACCATATTTTGGTTATTTTTTGGTGATTTCATTGATACATCGGGCTCTGGCGTGACATAAGATTGAATATACCGAAAAATAGTGTAAAAAAGTGAAAAATTTATAATTCATTATTGAATAAAGTGATTTTTAGCGGTTTCTATAGTGAATAACGACTCTCACTTTTTAATTATTACAATAATTAAAAAAAATTGTAGTTGTAAACAATGGATAAAGATAATATAAACTTTGCAATTAATAAATATTGTTTAGACATGCATCAAGCTATTGCAAATCATCAAATCGGACATAATAGCTCATTTTTTAAAGATAAAATAGTTAACAATGAACCTATAGAAACGACTGGACTTTTTGCTGGATACACATCATTGCATATAGCTTGTCTGAATGGAGATATAGAATTGGAAAGATTATTAGTTGAAGAATACCATGCAAATGTAAATGCTGTTGCTGACGATGGATCTCAACCTATTCACTTTGCATGTTTATTCGATTGTAAGGAGCTTATAAAGATTTTGTTGAGAGCTGGTGCCAACGTTGATGCTGAAATTGGACAAGAACTTTTTACAAAATACATCAAAAGTGTTAGGTGGCGCAACGATTTTGGGGATAAGATGACATTATTAACTTTTTCGATCCTATATGGTCGTAATGGTCCGCATATGTTATCATTGGTCGACGGCGAAGCAAATTTGGAAGTTATGAGTCTAAAGAATAAAACACTATGCGTACTTGATGTATGCCATTGAAGAAGAGCACGAAATGGCATCTTTACTTATAGAACGCATGGAAGATCATGAATGGATAAACGCCCGTGACAGTGATGGTTATTCTGCTATCCACTATAGATTACATCCCAAACATTTAGAAAATTATCGATACTTAGATAGTAGCTTCGTATTGTATTATGATTTGTCTATCTTTCATTTTATTGACGATTTAGTTAAAGCCGGTGCTGACGTTAACGCAACCATAAATGATCATCCAAATACTCTATTACTCAATGTAGCGGCTCGCATTCATTTTCCATGTACACTGGCTTATTTGTTGCCTTATCATGAAAATACTTCAAAATTAAGGGCTTTATATTACGTATTACGTCCACTTAAAACTCCACATTCGCAGTCCATTATTGATAGAAAAATGACAAGTATCAAGTTAATTCTCAAAGACCATATTGATAGACGCACGTTTGGTTTATTCGTTCCTGAAGATGAAAAAATATTGATGGACAAGTTAATTGCTGAAGACATAAATTTGAGGAAGCTAGTACATGCCTACGAAAAAAATATTATTCAAGGGGAGTTAAAAACAAAAGTGCTTAAGTGTGATGATAAAAGTATCACATATTATGACTTCATAATGTCATGTTTTGATTATAAACAATTACGTTTAATAGTGAAAAATAAATCCCTAATGGACGCGTTCGAAAATACCTTCCCAAACCCTACATTTTCTTTTTATCTGATGGAATTTTGGAATAACCCTCATCATGATACTCATTCTATGGAATCTTTTAATGCTGATTATTTTTTCTTCCGGAAACAAATTTCTATTAGAATAGAAAAAACTTTAAGAACACTTGAGCAGTTAGAAGCATTAGAAAAACTAGAAAATCTCGCCATATGAATTGGTAATAACAATAGTTGAATATTTTAATTATCAAGACTTAAAAAATTTTATTCCGGCTTCTTATTTATAATATATTTACCTTTGTCAACAAAACCAAATAATTGTATTTGTAGTAAATAATAACGAATAATAAAGAAATGATTACCTTAATATTCATTTAATCCTATTATTCTGTATTAGGTATTAATATAAACCACATTATTGTTAATATTGGGTTACTACCGATAACGTATTGTAACCTTATTACTTTTATTTATAAAATTACAATGTTTTGTATTCATGGAGTTGGTAAGTGAGAATTTAAGTTAATAAATTGCGTGTTAATTTATCAGAAAACTACTGTTGTGTTATTTTAACTATATTTTTTTCAGCTTTCTGCTTTACTAAGAATTAATAAGTTTTAAGGCTGCATTCAAAAATGTCCTTTCTTTAGATATATAATTAAGAAATGACACTGAATCTTGTCAACTATTGACATTTTTAAAGATATAAGCTCATTCCGATGTAACACTCATCGAGATCTTTCATTTGAGTACCCACATTAATTTTTCATATATTTCATATATTTATATATATGTATATATGAAAAATATATCAAAAATGCATGTTGGTACTCAAATGGGAGCTCTAGATGAATGTGACATCGGGATGAGCTTATATCTTAAAAAATGTCAATAATTAAGAAATGACATAGTATCTTTTCAACTATTGCCATTTTTTAAGATATAAGCTCATTCCGATGTTATACTCATCGAGATCTTTCATTTGAGTACCCACATCAATTCTTCATATATTTCATATATTTATATATATGTATATAAATATAAATATATCAAAAATGCATGTGGGTACTCAAATGAAAGCTCTTGATGAGTGTAACATCGGGATGAGCTTATATCTTTAAAATCGTCAATATTGAAGAAAGTACAGTGCAATTTAACAAAAGTCTCTATTTAATAAAGCAAAATTTTATTTATTTATAGTTCACAAGTTATGGCAGTTACATAGTTACTGTAAGGTTGTTAGTATATTTAGATTAAAAAAATCATTTATTAAACTGTAACAGATAATATTGATGGGTAAAAATATTTTTTTTCCCAAATAAATGACTAAAAATTTTGCTACTAAATCCGTTTAGTACTCTGTACTACATCCTTCTATAAGTGTGTGTCTTATGTAACGGGTAAAAATAAAATGATAGTGCTTTTTATAAAGACAATCTGAAAAATTAGATCTTGTACGTTTACAATTCCACAATTGATAATATCAGAGATAATATAATGTATTACTTGAATATTACGACAGTGCATTAAGTCTAAAGTGTATTGTCCTCAGTGTTGAGTTCAATGGCTTGTTGAACACGCGCGACAAAGACTAAGAATCTCACTGCACCTCTCCCCGGGATATCTTTATGAAGCTAGCGAGAGAATGTCGATGACATTGCTTGTGCGTCAAGGGTGTATACATTGTAAAGGTCAACGAATCTATTGTTGAATAACCTTATCACCTTGTCCCGTGTCAACATTTTATTTACACCTTAAAGTAATAATATACCATTTAATAAATTGTGGCATACATATTCATATTATTAAAATAATTATTATCTATTTAGTATATATTTTAAAATATCTACTGAATATTTATATTATTAAAATAAATATTTCTTACAAGGGAGCTTTTACTTTGAAAAGCATGTAAAAGTGTTCAATTTGCTTTATTTTTCTTCAATCCAAGGAAGAAATTGAAGAAAATTACTATTTTTAATTTCTAGAATTTCCTCGGAGTATTTTTATTTAATTACAAAGAGAGGGGGGGGGGTGTATTTTAGGCGCTGAAAGCAGTATATACACTACGCGCTTAATACGCGCAGATAACCTTGAACTGAAAATTGCAGTCCATACCTAACAACGGTTTAAAGACTATTTAAAGAAATTTGGACAAAGTAGCACACAGAAAAAAAGTTTCACTTGAGCCAAGAAAATATTTTTCTTCTTAATTGTTTTCTTGAGCAAAAAAAAATTTTTTTGTTGCACAAGAATTTTCACTTATTCAAAAATTAATTCTTTTGCTTTAAAAAATGAATCAAATTTTAAAATTATTATTAAAAGTCTATATTTTACTAATTTGTAAAGAAAATTTTTTTTAATCAATAAGAAAATCGATTTTTCTCTCCTAGTAACTTTTCAGCCGTACTAACTTGTATCCGGGTCAAATGTTGTTTTAATAGTTTTAACAACAAATTCATTTTATGTTTGTTATTAACTAACATATTTATTATTATAGTTTTAAGAACAAATTTTGTTTATGTTCGTTATCAATTAACACCTAAGTTTATCAAGATCGTGTTGTCAGGATGCTAAATCCTTTATTTGTGTTTTTTAATTAGTTTTTTTTAATTATCCTAAATAATTTATAGTTAAATATATAAACAATAATGTTTGTAAGGTTGAAATAATATAAAAATCTTTTTAATAAACAACTTGATGTAGACATTTTGTACTTGTCCAACCAGTCACAATAAAAACAAATTTTTTTAATTGTTTCTACGTAGGTAATCAGTCTAATTCTTTATAATATTCAATGTTTGTAGGATAAATTTAGTATTTTCGAGGGAAGTATTTTTTAAAAGGTTAGTGGTCGAACTGAAATTGGACTTTAAGTATACCTTTGGTAAGAGAGAAGGATTTGTTGTTAGTCCCACCAGTCACACTCAGTCAAATGATAATTACGAGAAACTTAAAAAGTAATGGAGGTTTTTGACAAAGGGATCTTGTTAATTAGTTATTTTTATATATTATAAGATAAATTTTTCAGTTTTCAATAATTTTGCAGAGCATGCTCTGCAAAATTTTAATAATAAAAACTATAATTAATTTAAAAAAAAAAAGAAAAATAATTATGTAATTTCGTACAAAGTATTTTATCATTTTTATCATACTGTTCTTTTCATCCCAAGCATTGTTCGGTGTCCTTGATCTTAAGATGCCAACTCCCTTACTCCCTTTGTCTGTCGTCTCAAACGAACGACGAAGTGAAGGTGAAGAATCAAACTTGAAAACTCATTTCAATTTCAATATTTGCAACATCTCTAGAAAATACTCCCTTATCACGACTATGTAGATCATGAGTTGAAATATTACTCATACATATTAGATGAGATACAAATTGAATCCTTGAAGAAATATTTTATTTAAAAACTAATCATGATATTTTTGTTTTGTGGATCTTTTTTGCACGACTCATAATACGAAACATTGCTTTAAAATCAAAAAATTTTTTTGGTAACTACTTTTATTATTATACCCTTGATTAACTTGCTTATGACTTAAGAACATGTAGTAGAGTATATTTAAAAAAATAATCTTATTGTTTATTTACATAACACATGAGTCCTGTGTAGAACAAGGATTTTTATGGCTTAAAACAATATATATAAAGTATATGACCTTGGTCTAATAATTAAATTGCACTGGCCCTGCAAAAAGCTTATTTTAATTGTACTTTGTCAAGATAATTAAGAAATTTTCTTGTATTTTAAAGAGATAATCTGGATCCAAGAAAATTATTTTAAAGACAGCTAGTTGTTTTGTTTCAACAATTTTTTGCCTTGAATTTTATCATCTTGACTCAAGAACACGTAGTACAATCTGATGTCGGTAATTCAGTCTGGACCAGTGACAACAAATGCCAATTTAATATATCGGTTTGTTTATTTGAAACACATGTAAAATCCACTGAAGGAGGTTATCAGACTGACTGTAAATACTCTAAACACTGGTTAAAAAAATTAAACTAGATAATTTACTTTTGGCACTCTCTTGCGGTCTACATCAAAGTACAGCAAATGAAATTTTTTGTTGATAATTAGTTTTCTAGCCTAACCTAGCTGCATTTTAATAATTCTGTCTTATAAGTTATCTAAACTAAAATAAAGAATAACCAAAAACTTAAATCAATCTCTCCGATTATATTGGTTGTACGTTTATTAGTAATTTCTTTATAGTAAAGTTTATTTAGTTGAATATGTAAGGGGTCCTGAGATAAGGCAGTTTTATGCGAGAACACTACTTATTTATTTATCATTTAGTTATTTTTTTTCAATGATTAAATTTAAAAATAGAATCAATTTACGCAGGAGTATTTACTCCTGCCAAGTTTAATGATTTTTTATTCTATAATTGGTCAAAAAGCGTCCCAGTATCTTGTTCAAAATTTAAATATTCCGTCCTACATATTCTAAAAAAAAAATCTAAAATAATTATTAGATTATATTAATAAGTATACTATTAATTATTAATGCTAGAGTTATAAATAATAAATTATATTTAATTTAATGATTAATAATTACTTTATTATTAACATCAGCTTTGTTAAATAATTAAATGGAAATTTAACCGAATGAATGAATAAGAAACAAGTGATACTGTTGAATAAAATAAAAAAAAATTTGTTCGCTATCTTATTCAATGAAAATATGTTTACGAGAAAGGTAGAGTAGACGAGTATGCCAGGTCAAGGCCATAGCCGAGTGTACTGACTCACGAGTGGTGCAGCCAGTAAGAGTAAGAGCAAAAGTAATATCACATTATCCCAGGAGTCACGAGTGCATCGAACCCAATGACCGTTGCAGTTGCAAGTAGGCGCGTCACCACATCGCAAACTCTGCTTAGTTGTGCGAAAGCTCACTTCTCACTTTTCATACTGATTATTCTTTCTCTCTTTCTCTCTCTCTTTCGTTTTTTTTTTTTTTTTTTGTTATTTTTCCTCTCAATCAACTCGGACAGTCTCGTTAAACTTCGTGAAACTTCGGTTGCATTCCGAGTGCATCAACCCCAAAGACCGCCCTCGAGAAGTGCATCGAGAACTATGCCCAAAGACCGTCTAACTTCTCGAGACTTTTGAGTAATTATACGACAGTCAGTGACCTGGTATAGAGTACAAGATCTGCCAAGCTAACCTACTCTAACTTGAACTTCACGGAGCGAGTCTGCTCTAAC